GTATGAAATGCTGTACAACTTTTGTCCTTACAAAAACTTACAAATTTTGCAAAGGTAATGAGTAGGGGGGGAGGGGTTAAAAAATTTGATGTTTTTGAAAAAATTTAATATATTTTTTCAAAGAGCGTTAAATACTGTACAATTTTTGTAGGAAACATTTTTTCATATATCTTATATTTTAGGAAATATTCAATAAAAATGGAAAAGTCATTTTTTTCAAGAGGCTGTTTCAACCCCTAAACTCAATATATAGCCGATAAAAAAAAATACTTATCGACTACTTTTTGATGCTCTACAACATATCCAAAGCGCATAAAAATCGGGGGGGGGGGACAGTTCCGCAACTTCCCTTGTAAGATATCCTTTTTCTTTGAAACGGTATACGGGGTGTTCCGTAAGTCGAGGTCAATCGCTCGGGAGATGAATGGGGAACCAAAAACAAGAAAGAAAGTTGATAAAACATAGATAGGCAGAGATCATGACCCCACAGTTCGTCACTCCTGTGGTATTTAGTGACTTCAAACCCTCTCTTACATAGTCATAGACAACTGTCACTCCCCGTCTACGCTGCGCTCCCACCATGATCATTCCTACGGTGTACGCATGCGCGAACGAGAGAGAAAGTAAGCCTGCCTCTACCAAGAGATGCTAAGCGGGTTGTACCTCCACGCGGTGCATCCTGGGTAGTGCTAAAGCAGCCCGCAACTTTTATGTGACTTTAGTTGTGTTTTGAAACTCATAAAAACCATCTTAAAAATCTTTCCATCTTAAACCATCTTAAACCATCTTTCAATTTTGACAAAAAAATTCGAAGGCAAAGTAATTTCAAATTTTAACGTAAAAATGGCGATAACTCGAAAACAATGCATTTTTTGTTTGTAAACAACGCACCTATGTTTGTATCAACTTTCTTTCTTGTTTTTGGTTCCCCATTTATCTCCCGAGCGATTGACCTCGACTTACGGAACACCCTGTATAACACCATCTTGATATTTATATATTTTGAACCTACTCATAATAAGCTTTCAGAAAATACCAAAATTATGATCATTTTCATATTTACAAAAAAATGGGGCTAAATGCTTATGGCGGTTGGGCTACACTCTTTTCATTAATAATATCAATCCAAATGGCATGATAGTAAATTACCATAAATCATTTCCAACTGCTACCTTTTCTCTATCTTCAGAACAGATTTTCACTTGCTACTATTCACTTTTGAAATACAATGAGAGAGGAAGAAAGAGATTTTGAGCGGTGCAAACTTGGCGCGGATAGTAATAACAATTTCAATGTTACGTACAAATATTCTATAATCTTACTGTGGAATAAAATATGTTTTAGAATTCTCTGAGATGTATCTTAGTGTTGCCTGGGGGCGCCAAGTTTTTTTTTTGTGAATCTGAATAATTTTATTTTTCGTTTTATTATTTGGCGCAAATTCCTTCATTAATTTAGTAATAACCAATTTAACTGTTAATTTAGTAATAATTAATTTAGTGATAACTGTAGTTTAATCAGTGTAATTTAGTATCTGTAATTTAGTATAATTTAGTATCTGTAGTAGAAAACTATAGATTGTTATACGAATTATTTAATATCATTTTTTGTACGGATTATTAGTTTTTTGTACGGAGTGCAAAAACTTAATCTTTTTTTTTACCTTTTTTTAAAAGATAATCTTTTTAACTTCCCCATGCATAAGTAAAGGAATTCGACGCGGTGCCTGTTTAATCGGACGAGGATGACTTACATTAATACTGTGTTCCACTTTATCACAGTTTACTACAACAATTT